TATATATTATTATTATTAGATTTGCTGTGAGTATGTATAATAAATATTTATTTAAATTGGGGATATGTCAGAGGAATTTATGAGGAAGCAAGAATACGAGGTTTATATGGTTTTTTTTCCAACATAGCTAGTTGTAGTATTAAAAAGGTTTGGTTTAGGAAAGTCTCCTCCCACCCCCTCCCTTCAGCCACACACTCTATCGTACTTTCATAGCTAATAACTCGCAAAGGTAAAATAGCAAAAATAATATTATTATTTATATATTAATTTTCTGAAATAACAAATATTAAAGAACATCTATTTTTTAAAATTTTTTAAAATAAAAACGGAGAGAATATAAACGAAAAAAAGCAGGTTTTATTTTTTTTAGTAAGATACATGTAAACAGCCGGCCTGTAAATTGAAATAACAAATAAAGCTACTTATTATCCAACCCTCCCCCACAATTTTTCAATATAGAAAGCCCATAAATTGTCTCATCTTCCCTCATACGCTAATTACTCATTCCCAGTATTGATTATATAACAATCAATCAGATCAAATCAAATTAAGGAAAACTCCAATATAATATGATGAAGAACTCGTCAACTCATGAAGAAGTTGAGCTTCAACCAAAACATCAAGAAAACGGTATAGGTCGATCTTATGAGTGTGTTTTTTGCAAAAGAGGATTCAATACTGCTCAAGCTTTAGGCGGTCACATGAATATTCACAGAAAAGATAGAATCAGAATAACCAGACCAAGTCGAACCAACGGACCTTACCTGACATATTTTCCGGGCCATACATCTACGACCACTACAGGCCCGTTCGTGATTAACGGGCCTGATAGTGGATCCGAAGATAATAGGCCGCAGTGTCTTAATTTGTTCGGAGATGATTGGCGTATATTGCAATTTGGTGAAAATATGGAAAAGAATAAGGGGATATTAGAAGATGATTTGGATTTGGAGCTTCGATTAGGCAATGATCCTTAATTAATTTTACGTTCATGATTAATGGTGCAGATATTGGTAAGTTGTATATATATTGTACTAAAATAATTACTATGATATGTTTGTTTATCTGAAAATTTGCCCAAACTATATATTTAGGGTTTTGTGTGCTTATTAGCTAGGTAGTACTGTATTATCCGTCATTCCCCTATTTTTTACTACGTACTAATAAATAAGAATTCTATTTATGTTTTTGCAATTTCTTTCCATAATTCCATTGGATATATGTTAAGTTATTTCTGATTTTGTGGGCTTTGTGTTTTTCTAATCAATTTTTTGTTGGCTAATCAAGCACTATAGCGTCCATTTTGCTTCTTTTTTCCCCCTTTTTTTCACTCAGTGTTTAGAGTCCGTTTTGGAGCCCTAACTAAATTTGAGTCCATTCAGGTATGATGCTTGTAACAAGATTTTTTGTCATACCTAGAGATCGAACATGAAACCTCTAATTAAGAGTGAAGTTATTCCACCACTGCATTGCATTTGTAGTATCTATGCGCCAATCATTGCATTTGCATTCAACTAACTAAAATTTGCTTATATATAGATGGTATAAGATGTTAAATATAGGGAACGTCTCTTGGAAATGCTAACCCGCTAGACATACTCAATTCTCCCGTTCTTTTTTTCACTACAAAAGATGTACACTCTGTTCAATTTGATTGTCTTAGTTTTCTTTTTAGTCGATTTTAAAAAAGAATGTATCTTTTCTTTTTGACAACTCTTTAATTCTAACATCTCACGGGATACGTTTAAAACTACAAAATTTAAGATATTTTGGTACATTCCTGATTCCACAATGACTACAAAATTCAAAAGTCTTTGTTACTTTCTTAAACTTTATCAAATCAAAACCAGACAAAGCAATTGAAAATATTTTTGTTTTTTACTACATAATTAATACCTTTCTAGTGCTCTTTCTTGTGTTGTTTAGACTTCTTTCAATCTCTTAGTAAAATGGGCGAAGGTATTTTGTCTAAATAGTAGACACAAATAATTTTAAAAAAATAATTAGTAAATAAATTATAATTTGTTACTCAATTGGGGGATTTCATTACAACTTCCATCTAGTTATGAGTAAAGAAGGAAAGGTAATTTCAAAGAAGCCTTCCTTTGATTGCTGCTTTTAATGTGCTTTCTAATCTGCTTCTGTAAAGAAAGGAAAAAAGAGAGGATAAGGCTTTAATTAAACGGTCTATATATGTTGATCACTTAAAAGCAATTGATTATCCTATCAAATTTAGTCAAAGTATCTATAATGTTAGTGTAAAGAAAATTATACACTCACATACTTATCTGTTCGAGCAGGTAGCTTATTTTATTTCTTATATGGTGCTTGGCAAATACTTTAAAGTTTCGATTGATTTGGATTTGTATTAAGTATGTTTTTGTTAAATGGAAAAATGCTCTTATATATCCATCTGATTGATTAAGGATAAAGGCATCCTCTATTTATAGAGAGAGAAATTCTTTAACCTGGTAGCATAGAAATTTTTTTAAACTTATATTGCCGATAAGTTAAACTGTTACGCTACATCTTAAAAAATAGTCTCTAAATATTCTATGTCGGGTCTCATTTATGTGAAGAAATTTGAGACAATTGCATATACTAAGATAATTTAATTGTTCCTCAAAATATGTATATTCTTGTTCTCACTCTACCAAGTTAGTCTTGAATTGGATATTTGAACAATAATATGGGGAAAATTAAAAATATGGGACATGATGTTATGAACAATTATATTGTATGGAAACTAGTGGAATTTGGCAACTGTCGTATTCATATACTCGTACTAGTATAATCACAAAATATGTGGTTAATTGTATATCCTATTGATCATGTCTTATGTCACGCTAGAGGAATTAATATACAGGTTGTTACTTGGAGGTGACAATTATATAGTTCCAAAATAGTGTTCTTGTAATTCCAAGGTACTTTATTGTTACATTGACTACAAAATTTTTATATATTAATTCATCACCAATAAGTTGTGAACTAATATTGTGTATATACTATAAGAGATTTAACTTGACCCCTAGACCCTAGCATGTAATATATAAGCAAAAATTTACAAATAATTAATGGGTACATCGACCTTACCTTTAATAAGCAAAACAATAAATAATAGTTGAAGTCAATCTTCAAAGGAAAAACACTAGCAACCTATGTATGTATCCTTTCAATAAAAATAAAGAGACTTAACTAAGAAACAAATTATATTTCTCATATCACCTTCTAAAGACATGTAATTGTCATGCCCCAATCCTAGGTTTAGACAAAATCGACACTCCATGTTTTAATTTGTTTGAGCTGAGACAAATATCTTATTATCATAAGCAAAGTTTTTTAGAAAGAAAGAAATTCCATTCGTAAGCTTTCATTTAAAATAAAAAATGTAATATCCAATAAAATAGAAAGTTTTGCCAACTTTACAATTATGAATATACTAAACTCGTTTAATCTATGAAGCCTCTAAACAACAATGAATAAACTGTTTGACTAGGATAACGCCCCCGACATACCTATGACCAACAAAAAAAACTGAAATAAAAGTACCCTAAACTATAGAAGAACAAGAACTCAAGGGGTCGGCTTAATAAGTAGTGTGTCATATATCATAAAACTGCAAGAATTTTCTATATGCACAACATATTATACATTGAAAAACAATATAAAAACAACAAGCACCAGTGGTCTAGTGGTAGAATAGTACCCTGCCACGGTACAGACCCGGGTTCGATTCCCGGCTGGTGCAACCTTTTTAATTTTATCTTTTATCTTTTCAAACACGGTAAAAGTATCTGTTGCATCAAAAATATCTTTATACAAAATTTTTACACAGAGGAATTGGAAGCAGAATTTTGAGTAAACACAACATCATCTTCTGCAAACAAAATCACGACACATCGCAATTTTCAATGCTAATTACCTAGTGAGAAAGTATACCACCAAAAAGAGGACAACAAATGAGGCTACTAGTGTAAACATTCTTTGGCTTGACTTAGTCTCAAATACCTGGAAAATGCAAGGAAACAATTTTAGATTCAGCTTACACGTTAAGGCTAGGGCGAAATTGGAATAAAGGTTACATACCATCTTAAATTTATCCATTGTGCCAGATAAAACTCCCCTTGAAGAATCCATATCATTACCCTGAACAACCAAACAAGAAAAGCTCACACGAATTTTCAGGCATACAACAAACGTAAAAACTTGAGGTAAAGTTACATAATTGGGCTGACCATTCTGTCCAGCATCCTATTATGAGTATCTACTTCCTCATGTATATCACCTGATAACTGTAGGATATAAAGCTTCATCAGAACAAGTCTAAAAATCTTCAAAAGTTTAAGAAGTTCATTGTCAACAACACAGCTATGACACACATTCAGTGATGATGTACAAGAGAAAGAAACTTAAGAAGAAACTCAAACACTTAAGTTGCAACCAAAAGAGAACAAAGTTTTTCCAACCTAATGCAAGATCTCCATAGATAGTTAAATATACATGACAATAACTAGGTTGATAAACTTAGAAGAACTCAAACACTTAATTAATTCTTCTCTTTGAGGAAGATTCGTCTATATTTTACCATATCAGAGATCAAATAGTTGGGCTCCGTCTACTACTTCTTAAGAAAAAGCTTTCCGAATGGAGCCTCAATTACCCTTTAAGACTTAAGAGTGGTCGACTGTTCAAAGTAGACAACCAAAATAATTGGTTTTTCAAATGGCAGTTAACATGGACAAAAATAAAATTTAAGCTGGATAAAGCTAATAGCTTCTACATGTGCAGGACTTACTCTTTTCAGCAGATTGACTCTATCTTGCAGCCCGTCCATTGCTTTCTCGTTCTCTTGTTCATCCATTTCATGTGAAGCATATGATGACGAAGCCCTTATACCACCTTCTTCAATACCATCAAATAGTGCTGCTCTGTTGCTACGTTCCCTAAATTCAAGGATTGTTAAGCAACTATAGGAAGAGATAGGTGCAAATAAGAATGTTCCTTTACATTACATGAACAAAAGCAGCCCTGCTTATAGAATAACCCCACCCCAGTAGAATAGAATGGATAAGGCTCGAAACAAAGTTGTCACTTCAAGTTCCTTTTTTGGGGGGTCTCTACTTGCCATTTCAAATTACGCCCCCCCC